TGGAGGTTCATTAGGTCCATGCGAGGATACATACACATTTTGCGTTTTTGCGGTTTTAATGGGCGTTTTTGCGTTTTTTACCACTACTTCGCCCCCTGTATATGGATCTTCACCAAATTTGGCATGAAGGTTTGTTAAGTCCATGCGGAGATACATGCAAATTTGTGGTTTCACATTTTGTATTTTGCGGGTTTTATGCACGTTTTTGCATTTTTTACTATTACACATAAGGGAAGCAAGTTTTCATGTCCTAAGATAACCTTTCATTAATCATGAATTTACATAACGTCCGTCTAACTATAATGACATATTGAATAATTTGTCACTACACGAAACAGGGAAATACTTATAAACGTTAATGTATTTGCAAATAGCATATCTAACTTCATAAACTGGTGAATTTTCCAAAACTAGCCGCGTATCCGGCAAGTTATTTAACAACTGTGCATAGCCGTTATATTCTTTGCAAAGTCAGGATTATCAAGGCTATTTGGAATATTCATATTTTTGTTTTCGATGTCTCCTTTACCAGGTACCACTAGGTTTCCGCACGTGAAAAAAAAATCTACTCTTTACAGTATATATTATGTGTATGTCCAATAAACAAATATTTAAGTTCGAATCCTGTGAAAGTCGTACGCATACACTTATTATTTGCATCTTGGTAAATTATGATAGAAAACTACGAAGATGAATTGATTGGGAGTTAACAACAGTTTAACAGAAAGCTTCCACCACTACATATCAATATCAGTTGGACAACGAAGCTAAAATATTAACTCGATATTAAAAACAACTTCGAAGTGGCCTGAAGTTAATTGGGCCGTTAAATGTATTTCCTTTCTACTCACTGACATCTTATTTCTTAACGGATTCATCGTCACGAATAAAATCACTATGTACAAACTACTTTCTCTTAAAAAAACATTCTTAGTAGTATGACTGAGTATTTAAAGCAGACAGCTAGAGACTGGACCTTAAATAAACAACGTTATATTTATATGTTAATACTTTTTATTAAATATCATTATCTAACCAGAAACAACAACAATAAAAACCTACCTTTTCCAGGTATGTATCGTACTGAAAGAAACGAAACGAGATATCTTTAAATACTATGGCAGTGATACTGTGTGTTATTATATCTGATTCCTGTATTCTAATGGGAAATGTTCGTAAAGTCATTCTACCATCGCAACTTTTTGGCACAAACAACGGTATTTTGCTTAATATATAAGTTAAGTATTTGTAAATACCTCATTAAATTTAGCTAAAAAATGGGCTCTATGTGCTGTACCAACTATTGGTATCGAAACCCGATTTTTAGAGTTATGTCTACAGCTTTACCGTTGAGCCACTGGGGGAAACTTCTTTAATGTTTAACCCCGGTGGGTGGACAAATATTGTACATAGTTAAATACATACATATATAAACGTAAGATAAGTCATTACAATATTTCATTTAATTTCAATGAAATAGTTATTACACAATACATATTAATTTAAATAAAATACAACATCTGATTATGTAAACCTATCAATGTTAATACAACTGTAGGG